CTTTTTAGTGGGATATATTATGGACAATGGTGGTGGGATAATGTGAAGTTTTTTCTACCCTTTTCCAAGTAGGGGGTCTTTACTGTAGTTACTTGTTCTCTCTCCAGTGTTGACATTGGTTAATTTTGTAATAAAGTCGTAGGTTGCGGGGCCATCTAAACCTGACCAAGAAAAATGCACACCTTGGATTTGGAGCTGAATATGGTAATCTGATGAGGTTTTTGGCTGTGTTTACTTGGGAAAAGACTGCATTTGAAAGCTGGACAGCAAAGGTGTAGACTTCATTGAACATTTGTAACTTTTTGACATCCCCATCTCTCAGGTCTGTTTCCTCTTTTTTAAACTAACAGAGCCCTGATTCTGTTCGAAGAAACACCACCTCACTCTGCCAGTCTGTGGGGTCTGGATGAGCTCTGCTCTTGGCTCTAAGGATAGAGCATGTGATCCAAGCTTCTTTGGTCAGCACATTGGATATCCCTCCCATGGGAACCACTTCAAAGTTGGCCCCCTGGTCAAGCAACTTCCTCATGACTGACTTTGGAGACTACTTAATTCTACTCTGTCTTTGAACTAAAATGACTGGGCAGGGCTGACTTCATTTTCAGATTCATTAGACAATACCCAGTTCCTGATTGTCACCTGGTGTCCTACGTTCAGATATTTTCTGGTCACCAGCTTTGGGGCTGTTGGACCTGCTCTCCCCTAGCTGGGGCAGTGGGTATGCACCCAAGCCAGGACAATTGGACTCTCTCTCTCTGGACTTTGATTCTTGGGTAGCATGCTACAAAGGCAGGAAAGGCAGATGCGGTTCCTTCGCTAAGCTGTGGTGCCTTTACCAGACTGTCGAGCAGTATCTGCTGCCCGGACCCTGGCCTGACAGTTTTTGTCCAAGCCTCTCCAGCCTTCCTATCAGTTCTTTGGCCACTGTCATTCCAATATATTCCTTTACTGCTAAATTCATCAAGAGTTGGTTTCTGTGGTTTGTAACCCCAAGACCACCAGGTCATTCACCATTGCTTTTTCCAGGTAATTGCTCATTCCCTTCACACATGCCCTTGATTTAAGTTTTAGTTATATTTCATTTACATAGCACTACTGGATGAAAGGGTGAGAACATAAAATTTTCTTGGGATGACTCTGTCTGCAATCCTAGAGAGAGCAGTTGAGAACTGCCTGACTTTGTGAATGGTACATTACTTAGGGTGGTGGTAGCTATTTATGAGAGAGGGCAGGGACTTGTTTTGTTCACAGCTTTGTCCCCAAAGTCTAGCCTAGTGTCTGGAATATATCAGTGTGTTCGGTATACATACATTGATATTATTCTCCCTTTGTCTTGTCACAGTAGGTTCATTCATTCATTTAATAAATGTTTATTATTCCCATTGGAATGGACAGTGAGCAATACAAATATGGCACTTACTCTCAGTGGTGTTGACTTTTGGTTTCAGCTGTTCAGCTCAGGTATGGTAGCTTGGTTAAAATGCTTTAATTGTTGAGAATTTGATACTCAAAATGCAATAATATAGCAATAATACAGGCTTTTTCTTCTGGAAAAGAGGAAAAATTATTACCCTGAGTGAAAGAAGTAAACCATATAAACCAGAGTAGAAGGCATTTCTAATGGAGCAATATATATATTATAGGCCATCTTTTTCTAACAGCTCCTTCTGTGTCCATAGCATAGGTTTGGAGTATTCTTTTGGTGTCTTCTGCACTAATTTTGGAGTCTATGACTCAGGTCTCTGGGTTGATAAGGAAGAAGCAATATTGTAGATTTGGATACAATCATGTTCTAAAACAAAAATGAAGAAATTTTACTTTCCAAGCATATATTTTCCCTAATGTTAAAATTTAAACATTTACATGCAAGCCTTACTTAAATAAATAAAATTTTAATAAATATTAAATTTACCAAATCAGTAATTAAACAATAATCAAACAAAATTAAATAATAAATATGTTAAACAACATAATAATACTGACTGCATATTTAAAATATATTATATTCATTAAAATGAATAGCTCAGGAAATTTAGATCTTGCTAGAAGAGCTAGACTTCAGTTCACTGTGCTAATTTTTTCATTGTTGTGTAACAAATCACCACCAACTTCTCGGTTTAGAACAGTGTAAATGGATTCCTTCACGGTTTCTATAGGAAGAAAATCTGGGCATGAGGGTCTGAGGGGGCAGAAGTTCAGTGTGAATAGTGTTTAGAGAACAAGGGGGTAAGGAGGTGGGAAAGAGTGGCACGTTACCTTGTGAGCAAGGTGACAACAGCCATGGAGGCATGGTGAAGAGTTCAGAGATTATTTGAAGAGTATTAGAAAATCATGTTGTTGTTTTAATCAGGAAAGGGCCAGATTCACTTTAGGGTGGAGACTATGGCAAGATCCCATCTTGCACAACTGGATAAATGCTGGTGACTTTGGGAAAGTTAGGGAATACAGAGAGGAGGAGCAGGGTTTTGGGGAGGAGGGGGCAGAATGATAATAGATCACCTTTGACTGTGTTTTATTTGAAGTATCTGACATTCATACAAATGGAGATGTCCAGTGAACAGTTGTGATACTGGTTGAAATTTGGGGAAGAGATCTAAGTTGGAGATATAGACATGTAGGTAGACGAACAGCTCTTAACCCTTTTTGTGGGTGGGATAGTGGTCAAAAGGTCATGCTTTGATAATCTAAAATAACATTAAAACACCTCTTCTCAAAAAATTTACACACACACACACACACACACACACACACAGAATACTGGATGCAAATGCTAGGGTCAACATATTCCCAGATGACTAAACATGAATTCCAGGTTAAGAACCACCACTATCAAAGAAGCTATGGAAATGGATAGTATTGCTTAAGGAGAGTTCACTGGGAGAACAGAAACTTAGGGCTGAGTACCCAGAGATGGAACAGGAGCCTGTAGCAGAGAAAATTGGTAGGTGAAAAGTTAATAAAGACAAGGGAAGAAAATATTTGAAGACGGCTAGAGTAGGGACCAACTTGATTGAAAACTAAGAGATTCAGAAAGAAAAGAACAGGTAGCCTTTGCAACATTCTTAACAAAAAGTGTGTGCTGTAATAACTTAGGGGGGAGCTTCTGCAAACTGCAGATCCCTAGGTCCCCCTCACCACACTTCTGAACCAGAATCTGATGAAGTACCACTACACTAGTCCATTGAATATTGGAGATTGCTAGCAAACTTGGCTGGAGCAGTTTTGGGAAGTGCTAAGAAGACCAGTATGTAATTATTTAGGAGATGTAATTATATAGGAGAGCCTGGAGTAAGTTCAAATAAGCTATTAGTTTAATGATGCAAGAGAAGATGGAACCATCAATGGAGTGGTTCTTAGGAAACAGAAAGAGGTAGGACATGAGAAAAAGTGGGGGACTCCTTTTCTATTTCAATAAATGCAAAGATAGATGAAACAATTGGGTGTAGATTTTGTTTTGGCAGGTTTCCGTTTCCTCTGCAAAGTAGAAAAGGCCATTTGCCAAGAATTTGAAATGTGTTCTCTTCATTAATAAAATTATTATTTGGAAATTAGTATCCATATCTTTATATTAAAAATTTACTTTTATATTTTCATTGATATGACCCATGAAGACTCGTATTTGCATGACAATGGGCTATATAACATGAATGTATGAATGAATGAATAAATGAATTAAGTGCAGCAAATGATGATCATTCCAGGATATTTGTATATGACCTTGAATTCAGTAGGATTGAGATACTGAAGAAAGGCATTCTTTGTCAAGATTCTCTGGGGAATATATTAATATCTCTAAGGAGATATTAATTCACACATCTATTCAGTCAATATTTATTAAGCACCTGTTATATTCCAGCTATTGCTTTAGATACAGAATATAACGCTGGGTATAAAGCTCTGTCCTTGTAGAGCTTACCTTGGGATGGAAGCAAAACCAAAAAACAACAAACAAATAATAAAATTTCAAAACAAAACAGCAAAAAATAATAAAATTTCCAAAGAAATGGGGTTATGGAATGGGTGTGATTGTGTGGGTTTCCACTGGGGTGAGTTGTGCAGGAAGGACTCCCTGGAAGTGACATTTGAGACTTGAATGAAGAGAAGCTGGCATTCACAGTAAGGTCTGGAAGGGAGCTTTGGAAGCGGAGAAGTAGCAAGTGAGAGGAGAGAACACACTGGTGTGTGTGAGAAAGGGCCCACAGGCCACATTGTGGGGAAGCAAGGTGAGAAGTGGGGAGAGTGGCAGGTGAGAGCATGCTGGGTCGCCAGAAAACAGTGGTGCCTTAAGCACATGCATGTTAAAGTACTTTCTGACTGCTCTGTGAAGAACAGACTAAAAGGGACAGAGCACTACTTTACTTTATTGTACTAAGGCACCACTTTCTTGCATCTCGTAAATCCTCCAAAGACTGCCTATCTGTAGTGAACTCTTCTCAGATTTTCCGGCAGCTATTATTTTAGCTTAAAGGCAGATTCATCAGTCAATTTGTTGTTGGGTGGATTAGGTTGACTGACCCTGGCAGCCAGAAGGGCCCTTCTCACAGGCCAAGGGAGGAAGGTCTCCTTTGGTGAGTGCAGGTGATGCTCCCAGGTCCCTGCCTCCCTAGTGCTTGTCCTTTTAACCTCTGAGTCGCTCCTACCTTTCCTGCTTCCTAGTAGCCCCTCATCCTGCCTCCTCCCAGGGGTGCAATTTTGTGGTCCCCGCAGGATTTGAAATGAACATGGTTCTGTCAGCGTTCCACTAGCAGCTGGCACTTGGAGATCCAGGTCCAAAACCCACCCTCTGGCCTTCGCCCGGGAAAGGGGGCGGGTGGGGAGCGCCAACCTTATCTCGCGGGCTCCGCCTCCGGAGGGCTGTGAGTGAGTTCCCGAGCCGCTGCGCTCCGCTCTGGCCGCAGCGGGGAGACGGGGAGACGGGGAGACGGGGCTCAGGACGGAGGGCAGCGAACCGGCTTCAGCCCAGTTTTTGTCCGGGTTGGGGCTGGTCACTGCCTGGGACGTCCTGTACCCCTGGTGGAGAAGGCAGCTGGCTGCGACTGCAACCCCGACGCTGTGCCAGCGTCGCAGTGCCAGGTAAGGTGACACCTATTTCTCTCCTCTCCCGGCCAGAATGACATATAGGGGGCTTCAGTGCTGGCCCTTCGGGGGCTGCAGTTTGGCATTTGAGGGTGCAGTTTTCTCCCGGCACTGCAATGCTTGGTGAACCGGGAGGTAGATTCCGCGTCCAGCTGGAGTCTGGGATGTCAGGGTTTGTCTTCCAAAGTTACTTGGGTGTTAATGAATCTAGAGGTTCGATAGGCGCTGATTTCTGTTCAGAGGGTTTGGCCTGTGAGAAAGAACAACATTCGGGGATTTGCTTCCCTAAACTCATCTTCCTCTATCTCCTTGGAGGAGGCTGTGGCATCCACACGTGGCGCGCCTGGGAGTGGTAATCTGGGCGCAAAGCGCAGGGGACTGTGTGAGGTGGACCAGAGGTTCTTTATTTTCGCTGCATAGTAGGTTCACTAGGGAGCTTAAAAAAAATTTAGTGCTTGAGCAGCACTGCAGACCAATGAAATCACAATCTCTGGGAGTGGGACTTTGGACATCTACTTTTAAAAAACTGTTCTCACGTGATTCTCAGGTGCAGTAGTTTGGGAACCAGTGAGAACAGTGGTTTCTCAGAATGTGCTCTCTGGCCTGCATCACCTGCGAATTTTTAGAAATGCAAAATCTAGGGTGGGGCTGAAACTCTGGGGCTAGGGCCTAGCTCCCTGTTTTGCTGAGCCCTTCAGGTGATGCTAGAGCTTGCTCACTTTTGAGAACTTGGGTTGGATCTCCCATCAGGTAAGGCCAAACACCTGCAGATGCCCCTCTACAGAGGAAGGAGGAAAGAAGTCATTTTTGGAAAATCTAAGGTATACCGTGGACTTTGGAGGATTCTATGAAGGACAGAGGCTTAAATATCATCTTGAGTAATTTTTACATTGCAGAATTAACATATTTGCTTTAGGAGAAAGAAGGAATTTTCTTTTTTTCAATGTTGAAGTGAAGCCAAAGAAGAAATGTACACAAGTGTCCTCTAGCTGTAACATGAACCTTTGGCCCCTGATGACATGATCCCAGATCATCCCTATCATCAGTGCACACTACAGGACTCGTATGCAGTATTTTTTCTTTTTTAAGCAATTGGAGGTTTAAGGGATTCGTGCCAATTCTCTAGAGTGAAAGGGAATTCAGCATTACATGTCTCTGGAATGTCCAAAGTGGCTCTTTTTTTCTTATAATAGAGATCTGAGATTTCAAAATTTTGGCAAAAAGAAAATCCAGCTCTTTTTAAGTCATTAGTACAGAAATAAAATGACTTTGCAAATAAGCTTAAGTGGATTAGGGAATCGAGCAGCGGACAAAATAAAGCTTGAATAGGCGTGACTCCAGCCGCAGCACACGTGTGCTGCAGCGATCGTGGTGCTGACTGTGCGAAGACTTTCTGTAGGGAATGTTTATTTTCCAAGTTGCTGTTCGTGCCAATTTATGAGTGAGGTATATAAACTTGTTAAGGGACAGGTACTAAGCCTGTGTTTAGAAAACTGGGGAAATGTAGATGGTGATTAGAAACAGGACCCTTGGTCTCAAGCCTCATGCTCAACAGCTGTTCTTTGCTTCTCCATTTTCCCAGACGGTGGCCTAAATTTTCCAAGCCTCACTTTTCTCATCTGTTAAATGGGGACTGTAGTAGTATAGTGCATACTTCATAATTCTAATATTGTTGCTTGAGATAAATGAAATAATGCTTCCACAGTGTCTAGCATAGAAAGTTAAATATTTGTAAACATACCACACACACTGAAAATATAACAGAAGTCTAATTCCCAAACTCCTGGAAATGAAAAATACAGTAATATTGATAATATGGTCAAATTTTACATTTCTTTGCATGACAACCTCACCCTTAGAATTTAAAGTTTTTGCTTTTTACCTAAATGTGAATATATGGTTACCCTCAATTTGTCTTCATAATTTTATTGCATATTTTATATAGAACTTTCTAGAATAAAATTTTTAAAAAGCTTGGCTTCAAATTAACAACCTGGTTTTTATCTACTCACTGTCCCTGGTGAAGAATTTCACCATGTTGTGGAGCTCATAATCTATTAACATTCACATTTAAATAGTCTATAACTCTAGCTCTCCTTGTCATTCCTTATAAAAGAAATTCCTATGGTAAGAGAGCATCTAAAAGAGGCCTGCTGTGGCCTCTAAGAGAAGCAGTTGAGAAGTACCATCTGGTGTTTCTTAGGTTCTTGAGAGAGAAAATAAAATGAAACCTTAATCAGTGACGTTAAGATTTGTTCAAGACAATATAAGACACAGCAAAATGGTGACACACAGCAAGGATAGGCCTACATTGGCAAAAATGTAGGGGAGATCATTTAAGAGTCCTTTTCCTCCATAACTGCAATAATTTCAAAATATTTCAAATCACATGTACAAAAAGCAATTTCTTTCATTATTTGATTGGAACTGATCTGGATGATACTCTCGGGACCAAATGGTTCTACTGAAAAAATATTTATGATATTAATTCCAAAAAGGATGTCAAATGATTTTGTATTTGAAATTGGTTTTGATTTTCCTTTAATTTCAGTGATAAATTGAATATCAGACTTTTAACCAATGCCTTTTTATGATTCATCTTGTGTTATCTTTTTAAATTTACTGGGTGATATTGGTTAATAAAATTATATAGGTGTCAAAATTCTATAATATAACCTATAACATTCTATAATCTGTCATCGTATATTAAATTGTGTGTTTACCAGCCAAAGTCAAATCTTGTCACCATATATTTGACCCCTTTACCCTTTACTACTTCTCCCAACTCCCTTCCCTCTGGTAACCACTATACTGCTGCCTGTGTCTATGAGTTTTTGTTTGTTTTTCCTGTTTCTTCGTTTGTTGCTTTCAGTTTTATGTCCCACCTATGAGTGAAATTATATGGTTTTTGACTTTTTTCATGTGACATATTTCACTTAGTATGATATTCTCAAGATCATCCATGTTGCCCCAAATGGCAATATTTCATCTTTTCTCATGATTGAATAGTATTCCACCATATGTATGTGCCACATCTTTATCCAACTGTCTATTAAAGGATGCCAGTTGTTTTGATGTCTTTTTGGTTTAAGATTATTTATTTATTTTTAAACAGAGGGGAAAGGAAGGAGAAAGAGAGGGAGAGAAACATCAGTGTGTGGCTGCCTCCCATGTTCCCCTATTGGGGACTTGCCCCGCAACCCAGGCATATATCATGACCGGGAATCAAACTCGTGACTCTTTGGTTCTCAGGCCAGCACTCAGTCCACTGAGCCACACCATCCAGGGCTGTTTCTGTGTCTTGACCACCATGAATAATGCTGCAGTGCACATAGAGGTATATATATCTTTGCAAATAAATGTTTTCAAATTTTTGGGGTAGATATCCAGAAGAAGCATTGCTGGGTCATATGTAACTCTATTAAGTTTTTGAGGAACTGCCATATTGTTTTCCATAGTGGCTGTACCAGTCTGCATTCCCACTAGCAGTGAATGAGGGTTCCTTTTACTGTACAACCTCTCCAATTGCTTGTTATTACTTGTCTTGTTGATAATAGCCATTCTAACAGGTGTAAGGCATATCTTGTTGTAGTTTTGATTTGCATTTCAAATGCAAGAAGTTATACCCTGCCTGCTACCAATCTCGTGTAACTTTTAGAACACTAAACATGGTCCATGTTCCAGCATATAAGCATCGTCGTGACTCCTACATTCCTACATTCAGGAAATCACGTCTTTATTAGGATACTTTTGAAATGACAACAATGTTATTAAATTGAATAAAATTAGAATTTAATGTTATTAAGTTAAATATAATTACAATTTAATATTAGTAGAGTTTTTGTTTGGCTCACTGTGTATGAAATGAGTATCTGTGGAGATGAAAGATCAGACGCACATCTCTTCATGGGAGAAATGAAGGCATGTGGAAGCAAATTCAAACTCTCAGCACTCAAATCAGTGTTCTGGATAATCTAACTACAGAGCCAAGAGAGTCTGTGATGTCGCAATTCAGTGACAGGATGTGGCCAATTAGGAACAATCAATATTGAAATCCTCCACGGTAATTTTATAATTCTCTGCTTACAGGCATAAAGCCTGAAGCAGAGATGATCATAAAGAAGTTTGCTTAATTGCACTTGATTTACATAACCTGGCTCACTTAAAAGGTTTTCATGAGCATTACCTGGCACTCATTTAGGTTCATTTTGAGGGCCCTATTTATTTCAAAGTGGATTGTTTTACTATTAAGTCCAATTTTGAAAGTCTTATGAGTAAACACATCATAGAAAATGGATACATGTTTTTATTTTGTATTTATTATGTTTAGATTATACTGCTGAGAATGCAATAGTAATTCTTTAGCTTGATTCATTATTATTCTTGTGAAAACAAATTTGAAATGTTTATTTCTGGCAGGTAGTCCAGTCTCACTCAAAGAGAATTAGCCATGCAGGCCAAGTTCCTCGACTTTCTCCAGTTCATGATTAAAGATGCACACTTTTCAGCTAGGCTGCCTAGCCTTGACCCTGCCTCTGTGCCTTGGTAGTTGTTTGATGTAGGTCAAGTTACATAACCTTTTTTGCTTCTGTTTCCTAATTAGTAAAAATGGGGTCACAGTAGCTACCTCAACAGGATTGTTGTAAAGAGAGAGAGAGAGAGAGAGAGAGAGAGAGAGTGTGTGTGTGTGTGTGTGTGTGTGTAGTCCAGCATAAATAACGCCCCTTTTTATTACATACAAATATTTTATTATAAAAATCATAAACATGTAATTCTGTAACATAACAATATCACACTCAGGTACGCCATATGACATTTTAGGTGAAATGTTTAAATTGCCGTCTGTCTCATGTAAGACATTTGCATACCCTACCTATACTCAATGGCATTACTTCTGCTGAACCCTATGTATACAAATAGTGCTGGCTCATAGTAAACACTTAATAAGAGTTCACTATTATTGTCCTGCCTGGTGAGGCTCAATTGGTTGGAGCATC